AGACACTGAGTAACGGCCCGTTCCGTTATAAACACACTCAGTAACGGTCCGTTCCGTTATAAAGACACTGAGTAACGGCCCGTTCTGTTATAAACACACTGAGTAACGGCCCGTTCCGTTATAAAGACACTGAGTAACGGCCCGTTCCGTTATAAACACACTCAGTAACGGTCCGTTCCGTTATAAAGACACTGAGTAACGGCCCGTTCCGTTATAAAGACACTGAGTAACGGCCCGTTCCGTTATAAACACACTCAGTAACGGCCCGTTCTGTTATAAAGACACTGAGTAACGGCCCGTTCTGTTATAAACACACTCAGTAACGGTCCGTTCCGTTATAAAGACACTGAGTAACGGCCCGTTCTGTTATAAACACACTCAGTAACGGCCCGTTCCGTTATAAACACACTCAGTAACGGTCCGTTCCGTTATAAAGACACTGAGTAACGGCCCGTTCCGTTATAAACACACTCAGTAACGGCCCGTTCCGTTATAAAGACACTGAGTAACGGCCCGTTCCGTTATAAACACACTCAGTAACGGCCCGTTCTGTTATAAACACACTCAGTGACGGCCCGTTCCGTTATAAACACACTCAGTAACGGCCCGTTCTGTTATAAACACACTCAGTAACGGCCCGTTCTGATATAAACACACTCAGTGACGGCCCGTTCCGTTATAAACACACTCAGTGACGGCCCGTTCCGTTATAAACACACTCAGTAACGGCCCGTTCTGTTATAAACACACTCAGTAACGGCCCGTTCTGATATAAACACACTCAGTGACGGCCCGTTCTGATATAAACACACTCAGTAACGGCCCGTTCTGATATAAACACACTCAGTAACGGCCCGTTCTGTTATAAACACACTCAGTGACGGCCCGTTCTGATATAAACACACTCAGTAACGGCCCGTTCCGTTAAAGTTTAAGATCAGTTTAAAACCAGTTGGATGTCTAACTGTACGCTGACATAAACCCTTGAGAGTTCCTGGTTAGTGTTCTGTCAGCAGTCAGTGTCTGTAGGGGGCGCTGGTGTGTGTGTAGAGTCTGTTCTTGTTGTTATGGGTGTGTTTAGTGTTACTGCTGGTTGCTGGGTGTTAGAGTGGTCCCCCGGGCTGCAGCGCTGCAGTCTGTATTCCCCGCTGTAGGACTGTATAAACCAACCCAGCCACATTCTTAATTAATAATCAACCCTGAATTCATACAGGCTTTAAAGAGTCCGTATCAGGGAAAACTGAGCTTTACTCCTTTTTGTACTAAGAACTCATTAAAGAAGTCATTTCATTTGGTTCTGTTTCAGCCAGTCTAAATTCATGGCTAATAATGTGTAGTATTGTCTATGAGGTGGTGTGATTTACAGTGTGAGAACAGCTTTGTGGTTAATTACAGAGAATTTTTAGAAGTGGTGGCGCAGCAGAAAAGATAGGACCACTGTTTGTGTATTCGCTAGAACTGCAGCACTGTTTCATTAATAAATCTACAGTCCGGTTTGTCTACAGCTCAGTCTTCACCACTCAGTGACCGTAGCGTTAAACGTAGGCGAATTCTGATGTTTCCCTGACTGGACCAGCTAAAGCAGGCCTGAGTGACATGAACGCTGCCGGGCATATTCAGGCTGAGAGGAGATGATGGGGATGGTTTTATTATTATTTAAGTGATGAACTTCACTGTTATCAGCTCACCATGAGCGCAGATGTTATCTGCCGGGGGGCATCGTTACTCTACTTGGGTTAAGTTCCAAACAGAGAAGTTGCAGAGCGCCCTCTGATGGACAAACTATGCAGCGACAACACTCATAACATGGTTGAGGGGTCTGTCTTCCGCCTCTCCGTTTCTTTTTTAGTTGTCTGTATTCGGATGTTATTAATGCAGACACTTACCTGCGGTTTGCACTGAAGTGTGAACGAAGCTTCGCAGTGCGTGTGTAAATACAACAGCCACTTTTGCAAAATCTGCGTAGGAAAGAAAATTAGTGTCGGTGTTCAACTTTCTGTAATGACCTTTTTTCGTATAAGTGCCCCCTTTGTAGATAGTAAGTGCCCCTCGTCCACTCGCTCCACTACCCTCCCCCCAAACCCCCACTGCTCATTAAGTTCACTTAACGAATGAGGTCCAGTATACCTCTGTTCTGTGACATCACACACAACTGGTTAACTGGGTGGTTGTAAATTGTGATTGGTTTGCCAGGAATCGCCTTTTAGAGCTGGTCAAAGCAGATTTAATAACCTGTCAGAATGAACAATTACTCAGTACCACAGTGTGAAATGTTTAGCGCCCCCCTGTGGTGGGCGCTGTGAACTGTGTTATGAAGCTGTAGACTCCTCAGTGAGAGACTGCAGAGAGGACAGAGTGATTTAGGGCTGTTATTGTGTGTTATTATAGTAGTATAATGGAATAACCTCTGCAGGTCTGGACTGGCCCTCATACCTGTGTGTGTTATAAACTCCACACTGATGGATGAATGGAGGGGATTCAGTTACTGAGTGGCTGTGAGGCAGGGCGGGGCGGGGCAGGGGGGCTGGTACTGTTAAAAAAGTTAAGAAACCTGTTATAATTTGATTGGATTTCATAAATATATGAGCTGGGGTGGCAGTATGACAGTGTATATAGTTATTGTTATTGTGATAAGATATGTCACAGTACAGCCTGCTGTTCTGATCATATGGTATGTATTGACCAACTGCATTTTTCATTATAAAGAGAGCAAAATTAGTCCTGTTTAACAGGATTTAGTGACACATACTGAATAAAAATGACTGTGTTCAGTTTTTGATATTATTCTTTTAATTTGTGTCTTTTTTCTCTGTTCTAGCTGATCATATGTCTGAAAAAACATATTGCTATATATCGTTTATCATGATATTATATTTCTGCCATATCGCCCAGCTCTACATATGAGTGTAGGTCTGTTCTGACAGCACTAGCACTGTTTATCAGCACACGGTACTGGATCCAGTACTGATGTTACTCTGTAATCATTACAGGCCATTGTGTAGCAGAGCGCTGTGTGTGTGTTTGTGTGTATGTGTGTGTGTTTGTGTGTATGTGTGTGTGTTCGTGTGTATGTGTGTGTGTTCGTGTGTATGTGTTTGGAGGGTGGGGGGGCGTTATGGGGTGTTTACACCAAACAGTGTGTAAATACTCTCACGGGTGGAGAAGAACAGCGTCACTGACCCGTAAGCTGATCACAGCCATAACCGCTCATTAACATAAAGACTCCACTCTCTGCAGCTAACTCAGTCTGACATCTCTGGAAAGCCTCCTTCTCTCACTGTTTCTGTTAGTATTGTTCATGATTTTTCTTTATTAATAATATTTCTATTTCCACCAGTAATCATTGTTGATATATTTCTCTCTCCATGTTTCTTATTTCTCTCTCTCTATGACTGTTTCATGGAGTTTTATCTGTTGTCTTTCAATTCTCTGTGAAGCACTTTAAGCAGCTTAATATGTGTGAAAGGTGCTAAACAAATAAAGATTGTTGTTGTTATTATTATTATCATTATTATCATTATTATTATTAATATTTGTATTATTGTGAGGTTTAAGTGTGGCTTTAGCTCACTGATAAAGACAGCATTGAGCTACTGTTATAGCTAGACTTGAAACACTATACACACACAGTAATACACACGTGAGTGTGTGTGTGTGTGTGTGTGTGTGTGGGAGTGTGTGTGTGTGTGTGTGGGGGGGGGAGTGTGTGTGTGTGGGGGAGTGTGTGTGTGTGTGTGTGTGGGGGGGGGTGTGTGTGTGTGTGTGTGGGAGTGTGTGTGTGTGTGTGGGGGGGGGGAGTGTGTGTGTGTGTGTGTGTGGGAGTGTGTGTGTGTGTGTGTGTAAATGAGCTGCTCTTCCAGACAGCAGCTCTGCTTTCTGGGAAATGTTTTGTCTGTCAGATGTGCCCCAGTTGCACAAATAAACATCCATCTGTAGAAGCGCCTCTGAACACAGAACCAAAAGACGACGGATAAACGAGTGAATCAGTGAATCAGTGAATCAGTGAACAAGCAGCCGATAGAAGATCAGAATAAAGGATAGAGAGATGAATGACTGAACCAGCCAGCAAGTACACAAACTCAGCAGTTAAAGCCTGTGTGCTTCCTGATGGTTCTGAAACATGTATAGCAGTTACGAATAGTGTCACAGAGAAAACTGTGGTAGGTGTTGAATGATTATGAGCAGTTTACATTACTGAATAATTCATAGTAGATACTGAATGATTCTTAGTATATACTGAATAATTCATAGTAGATACTGAATGATTCTTAGTATATACTGAATAATTCATAGTAGATACTGAATGATTCTTAGTATATACTGAATAATTCATATTATATACTGAATAATTCATAGTAGATACTGAATGATTCTTAATATATACTGAATAATTCATAGTAGATACTGAATGATTCTTAATATATACTGAATAATGCATAGTAGACGCTGAATAATTCATAGTAGATACTGAATGATTCTTAATATATACTGAATAATTCATAGTAGATACTGAATGATTCTTAATATATACTGAATAATTCATAGTAGATACTGAATGATTCTTAATATATACTGAATAATGCATAGTAGATACTGAATAATTCATAGTAGATACTGAATGATTCTTAATATATACTGAATAATTCATAGTAGATACTGAATGATTCTTAATATATACTGAATAATTCATAGTAGACACTGAATAATCCACAGTAGACACTGAATAGTTCATAGTAGACACTGAATAATCCACAGTAGAAACAGAGTAATCCATATTAGATAAATGAATTAAAAGTCTTAATGTTAGTAGCTGAATATTAATCCTGAAATGTAAAGGGTGAATTACAGGCTAATGAGAAATGCACAGCTAATCATACAGGTTGCACTGAGTGGGTGAAATAATGCTTTAATGAACGAGTTCATATTTTCATTTCATTGAGCTGTTACACTCCTTAAATTCTCTGTTGCTCTTGTGTGTGTTTCTGATTGGTCCTCCTCAGGGCTGATTGACGGGTACTCAGGTGAGAGGCGGGCACTTGAGGAGCAGGTGCGTGAGAGGGCAGAGCTTCAACTGCAGTTGGAGCAGGAGCTTCAGGTGACCAGCAGCCGTCTGCATGAGCTGGAGCACGAGAGACAAAATCTCCACCACCAGAGGGAGCTGCTGCACCGGCAACAGGAGGCCATGAGGGGCGGAGCCGGAGGGAGAGAACTACGTACGTTACACACTCCGTTACACACACCATTACACACAGTTAAACACTCAAACATACAGTATGGTAGCTGCACAGTTACCCAGTCACACGTACGGTACGTTACCCTACCGTTACACACCGTTACACACGCCGTTACCCAATCACACGTACGGTACGTTACCCTACTGTTACACACCGTTACACACGCCCTTACCCAATCACACGTACGGTACGTTACCCTACCGTTACACACCGTTACACACGCCGTTACCCAATCACACGTACGGTACGTTACCCTACTGTTACACACCGTTACACACGCCCTTACCCAGTCACACGTACGGTACGTTACACACCGTTACACACGCTCTTACCCAGTCACACGTACGGTACGTTACCCTACTGTTCCACACCGTTACACACGCTCTTACCCAATCACACGTACGGTACGTTACCCTACTGTTACACACCGTTACACACGCTCTTACCCAATCACACGTACGGTACGTTACACACCGTTACACACCGTTACACACCGTTACACACGCTCTTACCCAGTCACACGTACGGTACGTTACCCTACCGTTACACACCGTTACACGCGCTCTTACCCAATCACACGTACGGTACGTTACCCTACTGTTACACACCGTTACACGCGCCCTTACCCAGTCACACGTACGGTACGTTACCCTACTGTTACACACCGTTACACGCGCTCTTACCCAGTCACACGTACGGTACGTTACCCTACTGTTACACACCGTTACACGCGCCCTTACCCAGTCACACGTACGGTACGTTACCCTACTGTTACACACCGTTACACGCGCCCTTACCCAGTCACACGTACGGTACGTTACCCTACTGTTACACACCGTTACACGCGCTCTTACCCAATCACACGTACGGTACGTTACCCTACCGTTACACACCGTTACACGCGCTCTTACCCAATCACACGTACGGTACGTTACCCTACCGTTACACACCGTTACACGCGCTCTTACCCAATCACACGTACGGTACGTTACCCTACCGTTACACACCGTTACACGCGCTCTTACCCAGTCACACGTACGGTACGTTACCCTACTGTTACACACCGTTACACGTGCTCTTACCCAGTCACACGTACGGTACGTTACCCTACCGTTCCACACCGTTACACGCGCTCTTACCCAGTCACACGTACGGTACGTTACCCTACCGTTCCACACCGTTACACGCGCTCTTACCCAGTCACACGTACGGTACGTTACCCTACTGTTACACACCGTTACACGCGCTCTTACCCAGTCACACGTACGGTACGTTACCCTACCGTTCCACACCGTTACACGCGCTCTTACCCAGTCACACGTACGGTACGTTACCCTACCGTTCCACACCGTTACACGCGCTCTTACCCAGTCACACGTACGGTACGTTACCCTACTGTTCCACACCGTTACACGCGCTCTTACCCAGTCACACGTACGGTACGTTACCCTACTGTTCCACACCGTTACACGCGCCCTTACCCAATCACACGTACGGTACGTTACCCTACCGTTACACACCGTTACACGCGCTCTTACCCAGTCACACGTACGGTACGTTACCCTACCGTTCCACACCGTTACACGCGCTCTTACCCAGTCACACGTACGGTACGTTACCCTACTGTTACACACCGCTACACGCGCTCTTACCCAGTCACACGTACGGTACGTTACCCTACTGTTACACACCGTTACACGCGCTCTTACCCAATCACACGTACGGTACGTTACCCTACTGTTACACACCGTTACACGCGCCCTTACCCAATCACACGTACGGTACGTTACCCTACTGTTACACACCGTTACACGCGCCCTTACCCAATCACACGTACGGTACGTTACCCTACCGTTACACACCGTTACACGCGCTCTTACCCAGTCACACGTACGGTACGTTACCCTACCGTTACACACCGTTACACGCGCTCTTACCCAATCACACGTACGGTACGTTACCCTACCGTTACACACCGTTACACGCGCTCTTACCCAATCACACGTACGGTACGTTACCCTGCCGTTACACACCGTTACACGCGCTCTTACCCAATCACACGTACGGTACGTTACCCTACTGTTACACACCGTTACACGCGCTCTTACCCAATCACACGTACGGTACGTTACCCTGCCGTTACACACCGTTACACGCGCTCTTACCCAATCACACGTACGGTACGTTACCCTACTGTTACATACCGTTACACGCGCTCTTACCCAATCACACGTACGGTACGTTACCCTACCGTTACACACCGTTACACGCGCTCTTACCCAATCACACGTACGGTACGTTACCCTACCGTTACACACCGTTACACGCGCTCTTACCCAATCACACGTACGGTACGTTACCCTACCGTTACACACCGTTACACGCGCTCTTACCCAATCACACGTACGGTACGTTACCCTACCGTTACACACCGTTACACGCGCTCTTACCCAATCACACGTACGGTACGTTACCCTACCGTTACACACCGTTACACGCGCTCTTACCCAGTCACACGTACGGTACGTTACCCTACCGTTACACACCGTTACACGCGCTCTTACCCAGTCACACGTACGGTACGTTACCCTACTGTTACACACCGTTACACGCGCTCTTACCCAGTCACACGTACGGTACGTTACCCTACTGTTACACACCGTTACACGCGCTCTTACCCAATCACACGTACGGTACGTTACCCTACTGTTACACACCGTTACACGCGCTCTTACCCAGTCACACGTACGGTACGTTACCCTACTGTTACACACCGTTACACGCGCTCTTACCCAGTCACACGTACGGTACGTTACCCTACCGTTACACACCGTTACACGCGCTCTTACCCAGTCACACGTACGGTACGTTACCCTACCGTTCCACACCGTTACACGCGCTCTTACCCAGTCACACGTACGGTACGTTACCCTACCGTTCCACACCGTTACACGCGCTCTTACCCAGTCACACGTACGGTACGTTACCCTACTGTTCCACACCGTTACACGCGCTCTTACCCAGTCACACGTACGGTACGTTACCCTACTGTTACACACCGCTACACGCGCTCTTACCCAATCACACGTACGGTACGTTACCCTACCGTTACACACCGTTACACACGCTCTTACCCAGTCACACGTACGGTACGTTACCCTACTGTTACACACCGTTACACACGCTCTTACCCAATCACACGTACGGTACGTTACCCTACTGTTCCACACCGTTACACACGCTCTTACCCAATCACACGTACGGTACGTTACCCTACTGTTACACTGTTACTTTTTGCCATACATACCCTGCTGTAGTGTAATGTAGTGTAACACGCTCACACTGTTACTATATTTACTCCACTGTTGCTTCGATTGCACCCCCGACTGACTGTTGTTTTACATTAATGAGTCAGAAAGTGGTCAGACTTTGGAAAGACTTTAGGGTCAGAGTCGGGTAAGTTTACAGTTCTGCACTACAGATACAACAAAAGTGCCAAACAGCCTTCAACCATTTTCGCATTTGTCTTTGCAGAGTCACCATCACCAAACCAAACCTTCACCCCAGAGGACATTTGCATGATTCATCTCTCTCTTACCTCATCACCTGTTCTCTCTCTCTCTCTCTCTCTCTCTCCCTCATTCTCTCTCTCATTCTTTCTCATTCTTTATCTCTCTCTCTCATTCTTTATCTCTCTCTGCAGTATTATTGTTATCCTGTTGAATGCCTCTTTTCCCCTGTTTGACCCTCTCTCTCTCTCTAGGCCTAGTTGAGGCTGCAGGTGACGCAGCACCTGAGGCAGGTGTGTGTCTGTCCACCACAAGCATGGCTGTTAATGTCACTGCCTGTTATAGCCGAGTCGCACCCACACTGGCCAATGATAATCAAAGCACAGTGATGGCTTATAGCTTGCTTGCTTTCGGCTCTTAGTGATGAACTAACAGCTAAACGCTTCACTTTTTATTTAACCCCATTCGGTTTGACTTCAGATCACGTTCTGTGTGTCTGCTGCACAAGTTTTTTCATGTCTGTTTTCATTTTGAAGTTAGTGGTAACATGCTAGCATGACTTGCTTATTAATTTGATTTATGTTAGTGGATTATGTTTCCTAATAGGCAACCATCTTCAGACTGACTCAGCTCAGTTAGAATGATTTTCTCAGCGTTACTTCTGAGTCTGAAATGAGTCTTCAGTCGGAGATGGCTGCAGAATTAGGACTATGTTCATCTCCCTTGCCTGAAAACGCGTAATTGGGCATTGGGAATGGCTTTCTGTTCTGATTCTCTTTTTTGTTTCCTGGTTTGATTTGGTTTTTGTTTTTCTGGAAAACATCACTTACGTCTTTGCACTTTTCTTACGTTTTTCCATTTTTCAGTCATCATAGCACCCTCACTGCCACACCCCCCCCATAGGAACTGCACTTCTTCTGGGTTAATTCAGACACTGTTACTAATGATATCATGTGATGGGCTGAACAGGACATTGAAGCCTTTCGGGAGTGGGACGTGTCCTGTCTTTGGTTGGGGAAGTGGGAAGCTGAAATGGAGGACGTTTATGGACGACACCTGCACTGTCTGAGCCACTCTAAAACCCTGAAAGTTGTTTTTAACAGCATTTTGGTTAGCTTGAGAAGAAGGATTTCTCAGTTAGCTGGATAACTTGAGCCAAAAGTGAAGATGGTCGAACAGGAATCAAAACTCTTCCTATTGGGCAAAATAGCGATGCTTGCTTATGTCAAAACATGGGCAAAAGTATGGACAAATTCAGGCTTTAAATGAATGCTACTACTTTTCTTATCTACATACCTTTTTAGATAACAGCACATCATACAGCACCAAAAATCACATAATCAAGTCTATTAGAGGTTCCATACAAACTTGACATGGTTTGAGACAAAGTGTGTGATGATTTAAAAATGCAGTTAGCATCTTGCTAATTAGTGGACGGCCTTGTAGCGTCAGTGCAGAAACTCAAGAAGCAAACTTCAGATACCAGATGTATCTTGGTTGACTAAATTCAGGTAAACGGTAGCGATCCCCCTAACTGATGCCTCGCTGCTTTCTGAAGTGCAGTGTTTGCCCTGTAGCGCCTCCGTTTCAGTCTGTGACTAACGTGGCTGGCTGCATGAGCAGTGTTTCCTCCAGGCTAATTTGTGTATGTGTTTGTCGGCGGGCGTAGACCTCCTGGAGGAGACAGAGAAGCTGATGCAGGAGAAGGTAGAGGTGCAGCGGCAGGCGGAGAAGGAACATGCAGAGCTCCTGCAACAGGTGAAGCAGATGGAGGCTGAGCTTGAGGAGCAAGTGGGACATTTCGCAGAGCTGGAGGAAACACACCGGGCTGAGAGTGCTGACCTCACACAGCAGATCCACGCTCTGGAAAAACAACTGGAGAATAACCGCAGATTCCTAGATGTAAGTTGTGTTCAGTCAGATTAGATCAGGCTGAGGCATGAGTTAGTCTCAGCCTCTGAATCTCTGCCCACAGAGGTACATGAACCGTCACTTGTATGTTGTGCATCATCTTTGTTTTTGCTATTTTTGGACATCTAATTAAGCAGGAAAAATATAGAAATGTACCAACAGGGGCAAAGTGTAAATCAAAATAAAATATAATTCATTATATAACTGTCTAACAGACTATATCAAGCCGACTTCCCTCTACATGACCAAAATACAAAAAATAGCATTGCTATAGCCATAACTGTTTTTGGAATGAATATAGAATGACCAAAAGATTGATCATTGAGAATTTAAACAAGAGTGCAAAACAGTTCACAGTGTATATATTGTGCAGATGTGTTTGGCTTTGAGGACATCCAGCACTTTACAATGTTCTACATGCAGTGTTTTTTCCCCATGTTTGAAACACGTGGCTTGCAAAGAACATGGAAGCACATTACTTGGCATTTCAATTTCAGCTTCAGTAATTTGAGTGGTCTCAGTGCTGACACTAAGACTTCAGTGCTTCAGCTCTGTTTTGACCATATCAGAGCATCAAATTGCCCATTCAGCATAACTTCTGAGCCTTCTGACATGACCCTTGACCCTTCAGGAGCAAGCAGTGGACAGAGAGCACGAGAGAGATGTGTTTCAGCAGGAGATCCAGAAACTGGAACAGCAGCTGAAGAATCCCCCGAAACCCCTGCCCAGCAGTGACCAGCACCACAGAGAGGTATAACTTGGAGTATTAGTTTTACCCTAACTCTTCTACTTTACAGTAATTAACACATGCACTCTACCAGAACTGCCCTTACATAATGTGGAGAATTACAATGCTAAATTACACACACCAATTCTGCCCATACATTTCCTGCAAACACATACAAATACACCACTAATTTATGGTAATGCTTCACCAGTTCTCTTCATACCTAATATACAGACTGCCCCAAAGCATTACCTCAGTAACTCTCTCCAGACTGCCCTTGAGAGGTACCTCCGTAACACATTCTAAACTGTCTCTGAGAGGTACCTCAGTAACTTTGTTTCAATTGCCCCATGTAGGTACCTCATTAACTCATTTCAAAATGCCTCTAAGTCATCCCAGACTGTCCTAGACCCTAATCATTTACCTCAAACTGCCCTAGGGGTTTACCTTTATCATCCCAAACTACCCAAGAAGGATATTCCACTATCTTATCTCAAACTGGCCCCAAAGGTCATCAGACTCACCCCAAATTGCCCCAGAGGAGTATCTCAATAACTCATCCCAAACTGTCCCAGAAGGGTATCCCAAGATCTCACCTCAAACTGTCACAGTTTAGTATATCACCCCAAACTTCCAGACGATTACCGAACTAATTCATCCCCAACTGCCCCAGAGGGTTACCCCACTATCTCAAATTACAAAGATAAAATCCAAAGGACTCATTCCAAACTGTCCCAGAAGGGTACCCCACTATCTAATTTCAATCTGTCCCAGTGGGTTGCTCTACTAACTCAGCCAGACTGCCCCAGAGATGTACTTATAAAGCCACCCCAAACTCTAGCAGGGAGGCACCCTACAAACTCAGCCAGGCTCTCCTCCTGAGAGATACCTATTAACTCACCCCAGACTATCCCAGAGGGGTTCCCCACTAACTCATTTCAAACTGTCCCAAAGAGGTACCAGTCTAACTCAACCACAGCCTGTCCCAGAGAGGTACCCCACCAAGTCACACCAAACTCTCCTAGAGGGGTTCCCCACTAACTCATTCCAAACCATCCCAGGGACAGGCCCCACTAACTTACTTCAAACTGCCCCAGGGGGTTACCTGACTATCTCATCCCAAACGACCCAAGAAGGCTACTTCCCTATCTTATATCAAACTGGCCCCAAAGGATATCTGACTCACGCCAAATTGTCCCAGAGGAGTATCCCAATAACTCATTCCAAACTGTCCCAGAAGGGTACCCCAAGATCTCACCTCAAACTGTCACATTACTAAATCACCCCAAACCTCCAGACGGTTACCAAACTAATTAATCTCAAACTGTCCCAGAGGGTTACCCCACTATCTCATATTGCAAAGATAAATACCAAAAGACTCTTTCCAAACTGTCCCAGAAGGGTGCCCCCATTACCTAATTCCAACCTTTCACAGAGGGGTACCCTACAAACTCAGCCAGACTGTCCCTGAGAGGTACCTATTAACTTACCCCAGACTGTCCCAATGGGGTCCCCACTAACTCATTCCATACTATCACAAAGAGGTACTGTTCTAACTCACCACAGGCTATCCTAAAGAGATACCCCACCAAGTCACCCCAAGCTCTCCTAGAGGGGTAAACCACTAACTGATTTAAAACTGTCCCAAAGAGGTACCATTCTAACTCACTACAGGCTGTCCCAAAGACGGTACCCCACAAGTCACCCCAAACTCTTCTAGAGCGGTACTCCACTAACTAATTCTAAATTGTCCTAGAGACATACCCCACTAATTCATTTCAAACTGTCCCAGAGATGTACCTTTCTGACTCACCCCAAGCTGTCCCAGAGAGGTAGCTTATTAACTGACTTTAATCTATTCCCCAGAGATTCCCCAAACTGTCTTTACTTTCCTACTTTAATACTTTAATGCAGATTTTCTTAGCCAGATACACACCCTAAGCAAGGAATACTATTTTCAACCCAGAGAGAACCAGGAGCTAGGGCTCTTTTGTTACTGAACAAAAGAATGGAATGAGGAAGATCTACTTGCTTTGTTACAGTCCTTGTCTTCTCTAGGGGGTAAAATATACTTTAGCTCAGACTCGCCCAACCAGAATGACAGATGATATCCAGTAAGATCGGTCTTTATTCAGTGGTTAACCTGACTGATGTGGGATAAGATTTATTTAGACCAGTATCACAAAACACTTTAATTTGTAAGCGCCTGTGGTACACACACAGAAAAACTCAGTATAACTGTGTGGTATGATTATTAGTGTAATCCTTAACAGTTGTGTGTTTGTGTTATAAGCATCACTTTTGCACTTGGTAGAACTTGAAATATTTGTTTTAACCTGCCAGGTCCTTTGGTTTTGAGTTTTGGTTGGAATTATACCCAAATAATTAATGGGCTTCGGGTCGGGTCAACATTTCACATTCGGGCACTTTTAATGGATTTGGACTGAATTTACTGCTTCTTTAGACAAGTTTGTGGGATTACAGTAGTGTTCACACAGAATTTTGTTGGGCTAAAATTCAGTTCAGGCAAAATTTAGTCGGCTACAGTTGGGTTCAGAGCAAATTTTGATGGCTACAGGTTCAGACAGAAGTTTGTGGGCTACAGTCGGATTCAGACAGAATTTTGTGGGCTTGGGTCAAGACTGAATTTTGTGGGCTACAGTCAGGTTCAGACAGAATTCTCTGGGCCACAGTCGGGTTCAGACAGAGTTCTGTGGGCCACAGTTGGGTTCAGACAGAATTTTTTGGGCCACAGTTGGGTTCAGACAGAATTTGTGGGAGTTCCGATAGAATTTTGTCTGGAGTTGAATTCGGGCAAAAGTTTTGTCAGCCAAAGTCGGGTTCAGACTGAATTCTGTGGGCTACAGTCGGTTCAGACAATTTTGTCAGTTACAGTCGGTTCAGACAATTTTGTCGGCTACAGTCGGGTTCAGGCAGATTATTGTGAGGCTACAGTCGGTTCAGACAGATTTTTGTGGGCTTAAGTCTGGTTCAGACAGAATTCTGTGAGCTACGGTCGGGTTCTGGCCAGAATTTTGTGGGGTATGGTCGGGTTCAGACAGAATTCTGTGGGCTACAGTCGGGTTCAGACAGAATTTTGTGGGGTTTGGTCGGGTTCAGACAGAATTTTGTGGGGCTAGAGTTGAGTTCAGACTGAATTTTGTCAGCTACAGTCAGGTTAGGAATCTAAAATTCATACCTGGGCAAAAACGTTCTTGGACTATGTTCCGTGGTAATATGTGTTTGATAATTTATCTCATTTCCATGTGATTTCTCTCTCCCCCTCTCTCTCTCCTTTGTCTCTCATTTCTCTCTCCCACACCCCCTCTTTCTCACAGGTGGAGGAGTTGAGCAGTGCTCTGAGGGAGAAAGCTGATTGGTGCAGTGAACTCCTCCTGCGCTCGGAGCAGCTGCAGCGGGAGGTGGAGGAGAGGGATGAGGAGATAGAGAAGCTGGAGTCTCGCGTCAGAGCGCTGGAGCAGGCGCTGACCGCTAACGCCGACACGCTCAGCACAGTGAGTGTGTGTGTGCATGCGTTTGAGTGTCTGTGGCCAACGTTTAGCAGCTCACGCGCCGCTGCTCTGTCTGCTCAACATTTAGCATCCACTGTTCTTTCTGTGTCTGCCTTAGCTTTAGCTTCTTGTGCTGTGGGTTATTGTTGCTATGCTACTGCTGCAGTGTGAGATCTGGCTGTTTCTATTAGCTCTATATTGCTAAAGCTATTTGCTGCCAAGGTTATTCTGCTGGGATGGTGGATGTGCATCTGTGAAGGTGGCGGGGAGAGTATGTGTGTGAATCATGGGGAGACATAAATAGAGGAGCGTGAAAGATACAGATGGAGGGGTGGGGGGGGGGTGGCTGTGGTGCTTCTTTAACGTCAGCTGTTCCCATGGTGCCACTACACTAACAGGGACTTCCAGCTGTAGCTTAAGTGTGTGGGAGTGCATATGGAATGTACAGTACTGTGCAGAAGTCAGAGACCACCCTGCGTTTACTTATTTGGCTGCAGTCAGTTCAGACAGAATTCTGTGGGCTACAGTCGGTTCAGACAGAATTTTGTGGGCTACAGTCGGTTCAGACAGAATTTTGTGGGCTGCAGTCGGTTCAGACAGAATTTTGTGGGCTGCAGTCGGTTCAAACAGAATTTTGTGGGCTACAGTCGGTTCAGACGGAATTTTGTGGGCTGCAGTCGGTTCAAACAGAATTTTGAGGGCTACAGTCGGTTCAGACTGAATTTTGTGGGCTACAGTCGGTTCAGACAGAATTTTGTGGGCTACAGTCGGTTCAGACAGAATTTTGTGGGCTACAGTCGGTTCAGACAGAATTCTGTGGGCTGCAGTCGGTTCAAACAGAATTTTGTGGGCTACAGTCGGTTCAGACGGAATTTTGTGGGCTACAGTCGGTTCAGACGGAATTTTGTGGGCTACAGTCGGTTCAGACTGAATTTTGTGGGCTACAGTCGGTTCAGACAGAATTTTGTGGGCTACAGTCGGTTCAGACTGAATTTTGTGGGCTACAGTCGGTTCAGACAGAATTTTGTGGGCTACAGTCGGTTCAGACAGAATTTTGTGGGCTACAGTCGGGTTCAGACAGAATTTTGTGGGCTGCAGTCGGTTCAGACAGAATTTTGTGGGCTACAGTCGGTTCAGACAGAATTTTGTGGGCTACAGTCGGTTCAGACAGAATTTTGTGGGGCTACATTCGGGTCCAGACAGAATTTTGTGGGCTACAGTCGAGTTCAGACATAATTTTGTGGGCTACAGTCGGTTCAGACAGAATTTTGTGGGCTACAGTCGGTTCAGACCGAATTTTGTGGGCTACAGTCGGTTCAAACAGAATTTTGTGGGCTACAGTCGGGTTCAGACAGAATTTTGTGGGCTACAGTCGGTTCAGACAGAATTTTGTGGGCTACAGTCGGTTCAGACAGAATTTTGTGGGCTACAGTCGGGTCAGACAGAATTTTGTGGGCTACAGTCGGGTCAGACAGAATTTTGTGGGCTACAGTCGGGTCCAGACAGAATTTTGAGGGCTACAGTCGGTTCAGACGGAATTTTGAGGGCTACAGTCGGTTCAGACGGAATTTTGTGGGCTACAGTCGGTTCAGACGGAATTTTGTGGGCTACAGTCGGTCCAGACAGAATTTTGAGGGCTACAGTCGGTTCAGACGGAATTTTGTGGGCTACAGTCGGTTCAGACAGAATTTTGTGGGCTACAGTCGAGTTCAGACGGAATTTTGTGGGCTACAGTCGGTTCAGACATAATTTTGTGGGCTACAGTCGGTTCAGACATAATTTTGTGGGCTACAGTCGAGTTTAAACAGAATTTTGTGGGCTACAGTCGGGTTCAGACAGAATTCTGTGGGCTACAGCCCAGATTAGACAGAATCTTGTGGGGCTCATCTCAGGTTGGTAGGGAATTTTATCAGACTACAGTGTTGTTGGGTTTCAGAATTTTGGCTAAGTGTATTTTGCGTATGTCGGTGTGCAGGTGGAAAAAACTGTACAGTGTTTTTTTGGGGTTTTTTTTTCCCTGATGCCAAAAGTAAATAACTTGTGCTTAATGACTGTTGTGACTGGAAATGTTCACACACTCCTGTATGTGTTTGTGTATCTTATGTGTATATTTTACAGCGTGTGAACATATTGATTGTATTGATCGTGTCAGTACGTAAACGTTCTGTTGTCTCTCTGTGTAGGCGGAGGAGAGTAAGCAGTATGCCTCTATGGCAGCTGGTGATGATGCCACACTGGAGGCTCTCCTCCAGACTGAAAGAGAGGCGCTGGACAGGAAGGAAAAGGAGGTACCTCGACTCATATCTCACTCTTTTTGGGTACAACAGATTCGGCTACCACTGCTCCATGAGCTCCTGCAGTCAGAATTAGAATTCCTCTTGATGCTGTCAGAATAAATTCTGGATGAATAGAAATATATGCTACACACAATGTGACACCTCAGCATTCAGGACTCTGACTGTAACAGAGCTGATTAGTGTTTAGGGGGCTTAAACTGTAACAGTGTTTAAAGCTGTGTGTGTGTCTGCATGCGCAGATTGTTAATCTGGAGGAGCAGCTGGAGCAGTTCAGAGAGGAGCTCCAGAATAAGAGTGAGGAGGTCCAGCAGCTGCACATGCAGCTGGAGATCCAGCGCAAGGAGATCAGCACACAGCAGCAGGAGCTCCTGGCCCAGACTAACCTGCACGCGGTGAGAGATCATTCACGTACAGTATCAGTGTGGGTGTGAGTCCTGTTTTCCATATTGGAGTCAGATACCTGCTGAGCTCCAGCCTGAGGAGGAATGTAAACAGTTATTAAAATGAAAGATGCAAATTCTCTTCACACATTAAACAGTGAACGCCTGCTGTTAGTGTTTCAGACTCAGGAGACGCACAGTACTGTCCGACAAGACAGACCACTCCGCTGTCTTTCCTGTCAAAACAGCCATTCAGTACAAACGGTTTAATTTTCAGCGTCAGCAAAGAAGCAGAAAACAGATTCAACAGAAAATTACCCAGAAGCCTCAGCAGCTAAATCTACTCTCAGCTGTGTTCAGTGTTCAGTGAGTCACTCTTCTCCTTTATTCCAGCTTCCGTTCTTTTCAGGAGACTCACTTTCAGCTCCTCAAAGAATCTGCAGAGTCACCTCCAAAGTTCAGTCGTAGAAGCTGGTTCAGCATTTTCTGCTTTTTTGCGATCCAGGTTATACCTCTGCCTGAGCAGTACCTTAGCAACCACCTGGGATACCATAGCAACTGCCTAGCAGCCACCTGAGATTCAGCAGTAATGGCCTAGCAACACCTGAGATAACATACAGAAAACATGGAATAGTATAGCAACACCTTAGCTACCACGTGGGATGCCATAGAAACAGCCTAGCAACACATTAGCAACCACCTGGGATGCCATAGCAACAGCCTAGCAACACCTTAGCAACCACCTGGGATTCCCAAACACATTCAGTGGTGTTGAGGTCTGGACTCTGGGGTGGTCAGTCCATCGTTCAGCTTCTTTGTTTGATGTGTCCGTCTCCTTTTCTCAGTGAGGTTCTTCTTGACAGCTACACATCCTTTCAGACCCACAGCGCTGAGTCGTCTTCTCACAGTGGAAGGATGGACAGAAACACCTGTGGTCTACCAGCCCTTCCAGGTGGTTGTTAGGAGACCCGTTTTCTCTGTAGCGTTTAATCAGTTTTTAACTTAAATCTGATGTTATATTCAGTGCTCGAGGCTTCTGTTGAATGGTTTTTCTGCTGTTTTTGTCTGAGTAACTTGTCCTAAATGGCTGTTTTGACTGGAAATTGAATAAGTAATTTTTTGTGCAGCACTACATCAACTTATTAAAGCGTCTGTACTGGTGATGCACCGAAATGAAAATTCCTGGCCGAAAACTGAAAGGTTTTATTTATTCTTTTGATATGTAATATGTAATATGTGAAATGTAATATAAAAAATACACTTTTATTATGGATAAAAATCTGCTTTTAATAGCGCAAAACTGAACCGACAGCAGTTAAGAACAGTTTACCTAAAATAAACATACTAAAATGATTACAGAATGAGAGGTGAAATTCAGCGTCCTCGACATCAGAGAACAGGTGATCATCCCAGACTTCCGTCCTGTAAAAACAGTGGAGTAGTTACACGTGGCTGATATTTTCAGTTTATCTGGTGTTCAGACAGTTTGAATGTTGAACCACATTTTTAATCAATTTCTGATTTCATCACCATTAAAATGATACATTAAAGCAGCACTATGTAGGATTTGGGGATTTGGAGACCTCTGTGGTGGAAATGTGTAACTGCACACAACGTGTGGAAGAACAATTTGTGACGTTGGTTGTGCTTCGGATTCCCACACACAGATGAATCTGAGTGCACTGAAAGAGAATTAAAGACGTACGACGCCTCTGATTATTTCAGCCTTTACAGGGCGACTCACAGCAGCTCACACTCACCATATTTTAGACTTATATAACATACGTAGTGCTGCTTTGAAGGGGAACTTCATCAATTTTTCAAAATTTCTACAGAATTAAATAATAAACATCAACAGGTCATTCAGAGCGGTTCAGAGTGGTTCAGAGTGGTTTGGTGTGAAACGCTCTGTTCTAGATAAACTTACCGAGTCAGAACTGTTCACAGTGGTGGTGATAGGAACCAGACGTCCACCTCTAAAAGCTCCTCACAGAAAGTTCCTACATGAAGTGGTTATGAATTCACTGCCTGATGACTGAGACACTGTTTTATGATAGTTTAGAGAACTTAAACTCCATTCATGGTGGAGGGATACATGCAGGGCGCTGTGAGGCAAAATAGTCCCCAAAGAAAACTTATTATTTCAGATTTTCCACTATTTTCCATCATCAACATTCCATATAAACCCAGAAGACTCGTGTAGGTTCACTGGTGGTTCTGGATAGTAAATAAAATGTCTATATTTGTGTTGTAGTCATGGCGACCCCTGGTTCCTATCACCACCACTGTAAAGACATCTGACCCATTTCGCACCAAACCAGTCTGAATGTTGCGGTGGTGGTAAATTTCGGTGCGTCCCTGGTCTCTACAGCGCTTTGGGTCGTTCGGCCCGGCCAGGTCAGAGTCCTGTGGGGTGATTTTGTGGCGTAGGGGGTGGAGCTGTGTAAACCTGGCTCTGTTCTGAGCTGAGGTCCAGTAGAGGTGGACCCGGTTTGTGCTGGAGCAGGTCAGCGGTCCTGCAGGCTGGTTCTAAAGCAGATGTGCTGGTGTTTAACTCTTGAAGGTGTTGGAGCAGAAGGACAGGGAGATAGCGCTGCTCAATGAGCACATCACTAAACTCCAGCTCACTGAAACGAGTCCTGACAACAAGGTAACGCTCACACATGCGCCGCAGGACCGCCGGGCGTATGTGTGTGTACCCCTCACTGTGTGTGTGTGTGTGTGTGTTTGTGTGGAATCCGCCTGTTTTTAACCTCCGTCTGTTTCAGGTTTTCATCAGACCCCTTTCTGTTTAACACCTCCAGAGCGGCTTCACTGCTTCACCACTAACTTCATTATTTTTGCTACACTGTGTCATGAATTGGTTCAGTTCACAGAGCGACTGTCTCGTTTTTCATAGATGATGAAGACGGTTTGTGATGTGTGTAGCAAAAATCGGTGGAATGCCGAGTGTTTAGTGAGTGCAGATGACCGAGGCTCCACTGCGTGAACTTCACAGTGGAGTTTCTGTTTCGTTCGTCCAGAATCTGTTTGCACTCATTAGATATTCTATGTTCCGTCTGTTGATTTGAGTTTGTGGACCTCGACCTAATGGAAGTTGTGCTCTGACGAACTGATTCATATTTGTCGTTTGTGACCTGGAGAGTGTTTATTCTTCCATACGTTCCTGTGGTGTTTTTGTTTTTTGCTCTGAAGTTTTTTCAGTCCGTTTTATGCATGTTTTGTCATTGATGTGTAATTTTTCTGGTTACATTTAAGAACTAGAGGCGCTGAACCGAGTCTAATCACCGACCATAACGCTGATTGGGTCTCTGTTTTACTGGTTTTTGGTGGGGAAAACGACAAAAGCTCCAGGGAACCTGAATCTGTTCTATTCCTAAGTGAAAATATCTGGACGACAAGACTGCTTGCCGTTTGTCCGTCTGTCCACCTGTCCATTTATTCATTTGTTCCTTTGTTCACCCAAAGTTAACACATCCTCCACAGAGAAGACGCCTAAATATGACATTGTTCTGCATGTTTCATTGTACAGTTTAACGTGCTGGAAAAATTAAGTACATCACCGCTGTCGGAACAAAACCGTTTTTCACATTTTGACATGATGTGAAAACGCCTGTTGTTCTTTACATTGTGTGTAAATTCCATGATGAATGGACCAAAAGAAACGGCCCAAAATGACCTGGTAAAAACTCTGGTTCCATTGACTCACATTAAAAGTAAAGTATGTTTTTTGCTTCTCCTGTAAAGTTACCGTTTTGGAGATTTTGAGGTTTTGTTCTGACAGCAGTGATAAAATGTGCTGTAAGTTTTGCACAGGCCTCATTTCCTGTTTTATAGTGTTAAATTGAGCAGATGAAACATCTGCAGTGTTCTTCACTGAGTTCCCTGGAACTTTAAACAGCCTGAAAAGAGTTCAGAGCCTCGTGTTCTTAAATGTGGCAGCAGCATGAAATAGTTAGAGGGCAGGTAACACACCCAGCCCAAAACAACAGCACAGCCAGGGCTGCGTTCATAACGCCTGACGCTCCCAGTCAGAGACGTTTCATTGTCCTGGTGAATTCAAACAAATCAATGTACACACAGTAAACACACATATGACTGCACTGCATAACGACAGGCTCCTGTAAATAGCAGCTTCATCAATATCTGATAGTGTGTTTAATGATGCTAATGATCGGTGGGGTGATTATTATTATTATTATTATTATTATTATTATTATTATTATTATTGTGTGTAGTAGTATTAATAACTAATAACAATTATTGTAACATTATTGCTTAATCACAGTTCTTTAAAATGATTGCGATTTTGATTTTAATGATTTTAGCCTTCATGCCTTCAGAACGAGGGCGTGTATTTTCACACTCGAGGAGAAATGTGTGTGCAGTTGTGTGTAACTAGGCAACAGTGTAGATCATTTGAACAGTGCAGCCAGTGTAGACTGAGGTTAAACACAGCTACAGAAGCCAGACGGCTAATCGGCCTATCTGACCAATTAATAATTAACCACAGTTCTGTATATGATAATTACTCATCAGCTGAGTTTCATACTTATTGACCATCTGCTTAGTGACGTACAGATAATTAATAAATAAATTCATAATTTTAAATAGTAGAAATGCATTAATTATAGTCAATTAAGTATGAAGCATTTACTTAGTTGCTTATAAACAGTTCATAATAATTATGAATCATCATCCGTCCTAAGATCATAGATAAGTATTGTAATTAAGTGTTTGTAAATGTTATTAGGGACACTTATATAGAGTTATGACTTCTTAATGAGTGTGTAAAGATAGATCACATGACTGATTACACTTTCTGAAGAGCATCGATTATTTGTGTCAGTATGCAAATTAATAATAGTTTAAATGGTAGCACTTATTAATGCACCCATAACAATTATATAATTATTATTCATCATTAATAAACGATGAGGTTGCTGTTTAAAGGGGTCTGTTATGATAAAGTGTCACCAGAAACACAAACCAGAACGTTATGGGATGCAGCGTCTCCTGCTGTGGAGCTGGAGGTGTTTGGTTCTGGGTGTTAAGCTCCTCATGACTCTCCGTTCCCTGTACTGATTTGGCTGGACTGTGGCGCCCCCAGGAGGTGGAGGAGAAGAGCGAGCTGGTGCTGGAGCTGGAGGCTCAGGTGGAGTACCTGCGCGGAGAGCAGGAGCGGCTGAAGCGGGACAGCGAGGAGGAGGTGGAGCAGCTGAACTCGGTCATAGAGAAGCTCCAGCAGGAACTGTCCCACATCGAGCACAAGCAGAGCCCCGCGGAGAGCGCTCCCGACGAGGAGGAGTACGACGAGCTCAAGCAGAAAATGGACCAGGTCACGAGAGAGCTGGACACGCTCAAGACCGACCACTCCTCTCTCCTCGGCAAGTACGAGAGTCTGCGGCAGGAGGCGCTGGAGAGGGAGCTGGAGACGGAGAAGCAGAGCGAGAGGCTGGAGGACGCTCTGAGGGAGCGCACCGCGGCTCTGGTGGTGGCCCAGGCTCAGGTCCAGGCTCTGGAGGAGAGCGCCGGCTCCAGAGTGAGCGACCTGATGCAGCGGATAGCGGAGCTGGAGGAGAGCGTGGAGGAGAAGGAGCTGGAGCTCCACGCCTGCAGGCTGCAGGTGGAGAGAGCCCAGGAGGACGCAGAGTCCCTCCACCTCAAGGTCTCTCAGCTGGAGGACAAGCTCAGGGAGAAGGTAAGTCTGTGTTCACTTTATAGAATGGTACCTGTTTGTTAGGGCCAGACCGACGCGGACCGTCTGCGGCCGATACCGGATTTAGGCAGATAAAATTCTGATAACAAAAGGAGGAATTGTTGATGTATGAATGAAAAAGTGCAGCCAGCGTCTACGACTGAACTTTGCAGGATATAATTTAAAGGAAAAACGGTGTGAGTGAGGAAGTGCAGCTATGAAGGTGTGGAAAATGTAGTTAAACAGTGCTTTACTGACCGGTATGGTGGTCGGTTCTCAGTGGTCAAAAAAAATAAAATAATGTAAATATTATAGCACTGGGGGGCGGAGCTTCTGAGTTTCTTCTTGTTGTAGATTTTGTATTTTTTCTTACTTTAACATCTGGTGATAAAAGTGAGGTTTGTATGTATTTTATGTGTTTTGTCATTAAAAAAAGCTTATAGGTTTTAGGCAGCTAAAAATATATGATGTGATGATATGATGGTCAGTTCTCCATGGTCAAAAAAAAGAAAATAATGTAAATATTATAGCACTGGGGCGGAGCTTCTCAGAATTATTTATGCTTTTGTTTTGTGGTAATTACATCATATATTTCTTATTTGTATTATTTTTAAATAAAAAATTTCATTTTTTTCGTATAACATTCTTCTGATGTTAATGAGGTTTGTGTGTATTTTATTGTTTTGTCATTAAAAAAGCTCATATCTTTAAAATATATGTAATAAAATATATATAAATATATAAAAATATAACTTTATAGCTACTTGGCTACTGATTTTAAAAGGCTAAGATTTCTGCTAATATGGCTGATATAATTTATAGGAAAATTTTGTTATAAATCAACAACTGCAGCTTCGAAAGTGTGGAAAAGGTTCTACTCCAGCAGGTGTAGTTAAACAGTGCTTTACTGACCGATATGGTGGTCGGTTCTCAGTGGTCAAAAGAAATTAAATAGTATAAATATTATACAACTGGGGGCGGAGCTTCTCAGAAACAAAGAATATTCTTTTAAACAAAATTTAAAATGTGTTTTATGTGTTTTGTCATTAAAAGAGCTCTACATTTTAACTTTGAAGAAGAAGGAAAAAGATTTTTTACCTAAATCTGCCTTAAAGAAATAAATTTCATTACAGATAATTTCTGTTAATCCATTCTTCATTAAATGTTTACATAAAGTAAGAATCAACTTCAAATATTATCATTATAATGCAGATTTATTTGTTTATATGGCATTCACTTTACATTTTTCTGTAGACTGCAGTGATTTATGTTCCCGAAGTTTTACTAAGAAATTTTCTATCTAAAATTAAATTAATATTATTGTTATTATTATTAATATTATTATTATTATCATCATTATTATTATTATTATTGTCATTATCATTGCAGGTGGCTGCCATGTTGGTGAGCCAGGCCCAGCTGGAGGCGGTTCAGGTCCAAACCAAAGAGCTCCACAGGGATGAAGCCGTGTTGGATGAAGCCCTCGCTGGACTGGTGCGCTCCAGAGCGGGTCCGGAGGGCGAGGGCCTCGCGGTGGCTCCGGTGCGGAAGGTGGAGAGGGTGGGAAAGGTGGGCTTCCTGACGGAGAAGCTGCAGGAGCTGGAGCAGGGTCTGAGCTACATGCAGAAGGACCAGGAGCTGCAGAAGGAGCTGCTGAGCAGCTCGGAGGAGGAGGTGCAGGAGTACGAGAGAAGGCTGGCTGTGCTAATGGAGCTGCTCAACCAGATGAGAACAAGACCACCACACACACCTGCCCAGGTGAGCATGGAGGACACAGCACCGGTCATAAAGCTGACGTCCATGCAGTTATTGCATTGCCTCGTTTTTTCAGCACTGCTGCTCATCATGTTTGCTCTTCTAGACTGCGTGTCCGTATTAAACATGTCTGAAACTGTGCATGCGCTGGGAGTCTTTTAAGCCTTCACTTGGTCTGGGTGGTAGAACTTCACCTCCATCCTCTCCACACTGGGAGAACGACAGCAGGAGGAGAAACACAAAGTCTATCGGAGGAGTGAGACCTTGCAGGCTAATTAAAGGGGCCATTATAACGGGAGCCACAGCTATAAAGCACTTTATATTCAAATACAGCCACACAGTGTCGTCAGTGCATTACTTTATATACACAATATCAGCTTTATGCAAATAGAGCATGATCATGTGACCACCTGTGACCATCCAGCCCAAAACTTGCACCTCCTGCAGGAATTTATTAGGCACCTGGTGCTTGAGTTTTATCTCTGAGAAGTATGTTATTTATGTTTTGTTTTATTTGTTTTTATGTTATTTATTTATTTATTTTTATAGACATGCGCCTGATTAGCTGTTCTAATCCATACAGGGCTTCTTCAGACTGTCGTTCAGTTTGGAGCAAACTGATGATGATGTATTGATAATGAGAGTCTCAGACTTAAAACCAGGACAAAGCTTTCAAAGTCAAGAGAAAATTCTCCTCCATGATAACCGGAACTGTAACTGTCGTAATAACAAGACTTTCTCTCTGCAGTCGATGGGTGACGACAGTACAGCGATGGAGGAGCTTCTTCAGGAGCTGCAGGAGGTCAAAGGTGAAGCAGCAGCTAGTAAAGAAGAGCTAGATAGCTGCAGAGAGCTCAGCCAGAAACTCCAGGAACAGATAAAGGTACGGAATGTTCTTTACTTTAAGCAGCCCTCTTTATACTCTTTAACAAAAAAACACTGTCCGCTAAACAAAGATGAACAGTAGCAGATTTAGAAGTCCGGCATTATCTGACATTAGAGAGATGTAAAATTCTCTGATGATTTTACTTAAGAACAACATATAAGACAAAATGGAAGGGGACCCAGCATGGAGCCCTGCAGTACACCACATTGTCTTTTTGAGATTAAGTCTTTTAAAATAAAAAAAGGATTATCTTCCAGCTACATATGTGTTAAAACAAAGTGGGGCAGACCCTGACAGACCAATTTAGTCCTTAAGAATGTTCAGGCATTAAAAAATATAAGGATCAAAACAGAATTCACATCAGTGTTCTGTGTCAGAGCGTTTATTACTTGCATTCAACCTGTTTTAAGCACTATGATGTCATCTGAAATTAGATTGACAATTTTTAGTAATACTGTCTTGGAGTAAGTAATTTAGCTGTACAGTGGTCTAAAAATGGATTATTGGAAGTTGGTCTAAAGTTACTACATAATACCCATGTTTACATGCATCTTAATAATCCATTAATCTGACTAATAGCTTAATCAGAATAGAATATGTCCATGTAAACACCTCAGTCGGAATAGACAAATCTGATTGAGGCCATTCAGAATACAGTCTCTATCCGACTGATCGAGGTGGGTAATCCTGTAAATAATCCGTTAAATAGAAGAATAATATCCGTGTAAACGCCTGTATCTGATTACATTCCCTATCGGAAAGTTTAAGTCCGTTCTGATCATGTTCGTCACGTCATAGTGCAAGTTTATACCGTTCAACATGGCGGAGCAGAAACTGGTCTGCAGAGGAGACGAAGTTTATGCTCTGATCTTTAAAAGACGGCGGTGGGACGGACGTCCAGCTTATGAGTCTCAGAACACGACGTCTTCCTCTCGGCCTTCTTTAATAAGGACATGTGAAGGACGTTTTCCTGAGTCTGACATCATTTTAAAGCAGTTAAGAACACAAGCACTGCTCACTGCTGCTCATCTCACTCTGACTGGACTCACGTGATGCTGGTTGTCATGGTAACATCTACACTGAACAGATTACCTCGGTCTTTATCTCTAATCTGAATGTATTCATTCGAATTGGCAAAAATCTTTGCATGTAAATACAGACAGAATCTAGATTTTGTTTTTAGGTGGAGGTTTAGCTGTTGATGTTCGTCAGAGACAGTAGCTGTTTCTAATGAACGGTCAGAAATGTCCATGTCTGGATGTTTACAAATGAGTTTTGCTCTGTGATTCATTACCAGCTCAAAGAAGCAGCGATGGAGGAGCTGGAGAAAGACCTACAGAAGGTAAGTCCAGCACCTTCCTCCAGACGGGCTCTACTCCAGCTGCACCATGTCTGTCCCAGAGCTTTGCTAACAGACTCGGCTCTGTGCTTATAAGCCGTGCTGTGATTCACCTGACGTTGTGCCCTTGGCTCTCTTGATGTTTAGGCCTCAGAACGTGGGAGTGAAGAAGACTCCAGCAAAGTGTCTGAGCTTCTTCAGCAACTGCAGGAGGTCAAAGGTGAAGCAGCGGCTACCAAAGAGGAGCTTAGCAGCTGTAAAGAGATCAGCCAGAAACTGCAGGAACAAATACAGGTACAGAAATGGTCATTATAGGTGTCCTCACACACCACAGTCAGAGTAAACGTGTGTGTGTGTATATATATATATATATATATGTATATATATATATATATATGTGTGGAATCTATTAAAAAAGAGCGTTTAGTCATGTGACTGACCTTGTTTCATCTGTTGTAAGGAGCGAGAGATGACGATTGCCCTGCTGAAGGATCAGCTGCACCGGGTGAGCTTCATCATCTGACTTGGCTTTACTTTGTTTTTGTACAAAGCCAGTTTGATTTTACGGTATTTTATCATCAACCTTCTGTGTGAACCAGACACTCCTTCCTGTAGGCCAGGGGTGCACAGCTCCAGTCCCAGAGGGCCGGGGTCCGGCACAGTTTGGTGATTTACCTGCTCAGACACACCTGAGTCAGCTCGTCTGTTTTAGTGGGTGTGTTTGAGGTGGGAAACTACCAAACTGTGCTGTACAGCGGCCCCCCAGGACCCGAGTTGGGCACCCCTGCTGTAGGCCTTTACCTGCTTGCTGATGTTTGACCTTTTAACCTTTACATTTAGGCATCAGGTGAAGTCGACAATTCTGAGCTTCTTCAGGAGCTTCAGGAGGTCAGAAGTGAAGCAGCAGCTACTAAAGAGGAGCTGAACAGCTACATAGAAAGGAGCCTCAAACTGCAGGAGCAGATCCAGGTACAGCTTACGCTTAATACATGGTATAGCGCTCATTTTACACCTTAGGCCGCTTCAGAGAGCCTTCTTTACATTTTACAGGAATTTTGTCCACTTTTCCGCTTTCAACCACTTTACAGAACTTGCTGTTTATTTCCCAACTTACTCGTTCAGATACTTTACAAAACATACTTTACATTGTGCCACAACTTACACTTCACAGAAATTATTTTGTACCTTGCAGCAGTTTGTCACTTTACAGAACGTATTTTACAGGCGTTTATCAGTTTACAGAACATATTTTACAGGCGTTTGTCACTTTACAGAAGTTATCTTACCTCAATTTAGGCCACTTTACAGAAATTACTTTTCATAAATTATTTTACACTTTGCAGCAGTTCACGTGACTTTACAGAACTTACTTTACTTTTTAGCTCACTTTACAAATCTATACATTTTACAGAACTTCAGGCCACTTTGCAAAACTTGTTTTACACTTTACAGAACTTACGCAACACTTCACAGCAGTTAAGGTCACTTTCTAGAACTTACACAACTTTTTACAGCAGTTTAAAACTTTACTGAACTTGGTCTATATTTTACGTATTTTACATTTTTTCCTTAACAACTTGATTGTTTTCCCAGCACTGATGCTGTGTTGATGAGAGGTGGGATTAGCATGGGTGAAATAAACCTTGAAGGAACTTTCTAACACTGCTGTTCTGTACAGGTTCGAGACGTGTCCATTGCTCAGCTGATGGACGAGCTCCAGCAGCTCCGTACGGCCTTATCCAAATCCAGCGAGGACGTCCCGGCCCAGCAGCCTCAGTCCCACTCCAGGAAGAAAGCAGGAAAGCACAGTGAGGGAAAAGGCAAAGGGAACAGCGTAGCCAAAGACAAACCATCCCTGTCCAGGAAGAACTCCAACAGCCAGCCTGAGAAGTCTGCTAACAGCGCACAGGCCTCCTCCCAGACTCGAGTGGACGCGGGGACTCAGGTGGAGCAGGAGGAAGTGTCGGAGGAGCTGGAGGAGGTGATCGGGGAGTACAGAGAGCGGATCGGACAGATGCAGGAGCTCCACGCCGCTGAAATCATGGACATGGAGAACAGGCACATTTCAGAGAGCGACAGTCTGAAGAGGGAGAACCAGCGGCTGGAGCAGGAGTGCAGCGCTCTCAGAGCCGCCGTCAACAACCTCCGCTCCGGAGAGGTCAGTCACAATGCTCTGACCACAGCTTTCAGTCGTCATTTCAGTCATTCACTGTGTCGCATGACCACACCCACTGTCATCTGACCACACCCACTGTGTTCTCTATCCACACCCACTGTCATCAGACCACACCCACTGTGTTCTCTGACCACACCCTCTGTGTTCTTTGTCCACACCCACTGTATCATCAGACCACACCCACTGTTATCTGACCACACCCACTGTGTTCTCTGTCCACACCCACTGTGTCATCTGACCACACTAACTGTATTAATAGACCACACCCACTGTCATCTGACCACACCCCCTGTGTTCTCTGTCCACACCCACTGTGTTCTATGTCCACACCCACTGTCATCAGACCACACCCACTGTGTTCTCTATCCACACCCACTGTCATCAGACCACACCCACTGTGTTCTCTATCCACACCCACTGTCATCAGACCACACCCACTGTGACATCTGACCACACCCTCTGTGTTCTTTGTCCACACCCACTGTGACATCAGACCACACCCACTGTGTCATTTGACCACACTGTATTAATTAACTGTGACATCTGACCACACCCACTGTGTTCTTTGTCCAAACCCACTGTCATCTGACCACATCCACTATCATCTGACCACGTCCACTGTTATCTAACAACATTCACTGTGTCATCTGACCACACCCACTGTGTTTTCTGGCCATGCCCATTGCATTGTCAGACCACACCCACTGTGTTCTCACACTGTTCCCATTGTGCCCACTGGATACACACACAGAGTTATCTGTCCACACCCATTGTACCAGATGACCACACCCTCATAGTATGTGACCACGCCCACTATTCCCCTCTGTCCCACTGTGTTTTTTGAGCAGGATTAGGTGACCGGTCTGTTCTGTGCGTCCTCCTTGTATAAACGTTCTGCTCTAAATGTGGTCGTTCGTTGTGTCCAGCGTCTCGTTCGTTGTGTCCAGCGTCTCATTCATTGTGCTCAGCTGAAGGGTTTTGTTTTGTCTTCCAGGCTGTGAGACTGGACCTTCCTGCTTCCTCCCAGTTCAGAGACGGCTACACTAGCGGTAACTCTCATTCCTTACAAAACTTACTCTACACTTTACAGCAGCTTAGGCCACTTTACAAAACTTACTCTACACTTTTACAGCAGCTTAGGCCACTTTACAAAACTTACTCTACACTTTACAGCAGCTTAGGCCACTTTACAAAACTTACTCTACACTTTACAGCAGCTTAGGCCACTTTACAAAACTTACTCTACACTTTACAGCAGCTTAGGTCACTTTACAAAACTTACTCTACACTTTACAGCAGCTTAGGCCACTTTACAAAACTTACTCTACACTTTACAGCATCTTAGGCCACTTTACAAAACTTACTCTACACTTTACAGCATCTTAGGCCACTTTACAAAACTTACTCTACACTTTACAGCGTCTTAGGCCACTTTACAAAACTTACTCTACACTTTACAGCGTCTTAGGCCACTTTACAAAACTTACTTACTGATGAGCTCCAACAGCTGCGTATGCTGCGATTGTAACGTCGTTGTTTGTGTTTGTGCTCCTGGCAGACAGCAGCTCGGACTGGAGCCAGCGGACGGGCTTTGAGCTGCCTCACCTGCAGGCCGAGTTCAGGAGCACACCTGAGGGAGCACGCAGGGACGACTCTGAAGTGCTGCCTGATAGGATCAAGGTACGCTGCGGGTATCGGCCCGCTGGTTAGGGATCTCTGCTGCACGCTGTAGTTATTCCTGTAAACTTTACTGCATGCTTAATTTCTTTGTCTTTCTTTGTTTTTACACTGCAACTTTACACTTAACAGTAGACATAATACTTCACCTCTGCTTACAGCATATTTTACCTACACCTACACTGCATTGCTGCTTTTACACGACACTATACTTTCACTATACTGTAACTCTTTCACACTTAATAGGATATTTTACACTTGATCTCTGCTTTTACATTTTATGCTCTGCTTTACGTGACTTATCTTCTTTTACACAATACAGTACACTTTATACTGCAGTTACTTTACATAACATTATACCATCTTTACAGTACGGTTTACCTGCTTTTACACTTTTCACTATGCTTTACCTTGAACCTCCTTCACACTTCATAGTGAACTTCACACTTCACCTCTGCTTTTACATTTTATGCTACCCTTTACACACCATATCTCCTTTTACACAGTACCGTACACTTTACACTGCAACTCTGCTTTTTATGTTGCACTGTACACTGCATGTCTGTTTTACACAATACAGTACATTTTACACTGTAACTGCCACTTTGCACTTCACAGTATGCTGTACACTGCAGCTGTATCTTTACACTTTATTCAGTTTATACACTTTATACAGTTGCAGTGTACAGCATACTGTAACAGTGCAAAGTGGCAGTTACAGTGTAAAATGTACTGTTTTACACAGCCACTAGACTGTTGAACTTTACAGAACACTGCAGTGATGTATTTACACTTTCACACATCTCCATCTTTACGCTTTACGGTAGTGGGGGGGGGAGATGTTTTGTTTATGCTGTGTTGTTCTGACTTGCTAATATTGTGTTTTAAACAGGCTAACTTTGTGTTTTCTTTAGACTCTGCTGAGGGAGGTTCATCAGGAGGGCATGCAGGTCCTGTCTCTGTCTGAAATCCCTGTGCCTGAGGCCGAACACCCCGCAGCACAGCTCCCCCTGCAGGCCTGGAGGAAAGAGAAGGAGGCGCTGCTGGACACGGTGGAGTCCCTGAAAACCCTCATTACTCAGCTACAGACTCACAGCCAGACTCAGACAGAGACAGAGGTGAGACAGACAGCTTCATCACAGTAAACTGACACTTTATACGCTCTGCCCTCAAACCCATCACACCCCGAGCACGAGCAGCAAACTACCAGCAGAGGTCCTCTCAGTGACGTCTGCACACTTTCACTGCGTTTCCTGTGACTGATAAAACGATATCTGATCAACAACTAAAGTCTTTTAATAGCATTAGCAGCCATTTACACGCACTTAATAATCTGATAACTGCAGTAAATCAGATCGTGTCAGTAACTGGTTCAGCGTGTTTACACTTAATAATCTGATAACTGCAGTAAATCAGATCGTGTCAGTAACTGGTTCAGTGTGTTTACACTTAATAATCTGATAACTGCAGTAAATCAGATTGTGTCAGTAACTGGTTCAGTGTGTTTACATTAATAATCTGATAACTGCAGTAAATCAGATCGTGTCAGTAACTGGTTCAGCGTGTTTACACTTAATAATCTGATAACTGCAGTAAATCAGATTGTGTCAGTAACTGCTTCAGTGTGTTTACATTAATAATCTGATAACGGCAGTAAATCAGATTGTGTCAGTAACTGCTTCAGCGTGTTTACATTAATAATCTGATAACTGCAGTAAATCAGATCGTGTCAGTAACTGCTTCAGTGTGTTTACATTAATAATCTGATAACGGCAGTAAATCAGATCGTGTCAGTAACTGGTTCAGTGTGTTTACATTAATAATCTGATAACTGCAGTAAATCAGATCGTGTCAGTAACTGGTTCAGTGTGTTTACATTAATAATCTGATAACTGCAGTAAATCAGATCGTGTCAGTAACTGGTTCAGCGTGTTTACATTAATAATCTGATAACTGCAGTAAATCAGATCGTGTCAGTAACTGGTTCAGCGTGTTTACATTAATAATCTGATAACTGCAGTAAATCAGATCGTGTCAGTAACTGGTTCAGCGTGTTTACATTAATAATCTGATAACTGCAGTAAATCAGATCGTGTCAGTAACTGGTTCAGTGTGTTTACATTAATAATCTGATAACTGCAGTAAATCAGATCGTGTCAGTAACTGGTTCAGCGTGTTTACGCTGAATAATCTGATAACTGCAGAAATCTGATTATGATCGTGTTATAGAGTGCATGTAAACACACTCTGTGTGTTGCTTTGCTTTTTCCTTCCTGACCTCGTTGCGTTTCAGGTGTTTAAGAGTCTCTTTTTGGCCTGAAGTCACTGACGGCGTGTTTTTGTGTGTGTAGTCTGCAGGTGACTGGCGTGGTGACCTGCTCAGTGCGGTGCAGCAGGTGTTTCTGAGGGAGCGAGAGGTGCTGAAGGTCGCACTACTCAACCAGCTGGACCTGCTGGACACCAGAGACGCTGTCATTCACCTCAACCAGCTAGAGAGAGCACTAACAGACCAGGTACACACTCACACACACACACCCACCAGAGACCCCCTCATTCACCTCAACCAGCTAGAGATAGCACTAACAGACCAGGTACACACTCACACACACCCACCCACCAGAGACCCCCTCATTCACCTCAACCA